GCTTGAGGAATATCTCAATTTATAGTGTTACTACTCACCTATTTCCTTTTATATAATCTTTTACATAATCATATATTAGTTTATAGAAATAGGACTTGAAGTCTCCCTTTATATAATCCTCTATATATAATCATATAATAGTTGCTAGTATGAGTGCCTAAAGAATATTTCCCTACATATATACCTATAATTATATCTTAGTTCATAATCGGAGGAATGCCTAGAGTGGACACAGTACAGAGCATGAATTAAGGAATAAGCAGCTTTTAATCGGAGGAATGCCTGGAGCAGACAGTGCAGAGCATGATTTAAGGGAAAAACAGTTATACCAGGACAAGAATCCATGGCCCAGGCAGTAGCGTTCAGTATCGTGAGAACCCGCTGTATGGCAGGCTTGGGGTGAGAGCCATTCCTCCTGATAAAGGAGTTGTAGGACTTTGCTCCAGTTGTTGTGGAAGGCTGCCCTCAGACCGGCAATCCACCTTGGTGACTGTGAACTTTATCAGCTCTTGCTACTGTGCTGCTTAAAAAGCATCTTCCCATAGAATCCATTGGAAGCTGCCAGAAGGTGGCAGTAACCTTGACAGCTCTGTCACTGCTATAAATTTAAAGCATCCTCCTATAAATCTTCTTAGAAGTAGTTTCCCATAGATAGAAGTATCGCACACTGCACCCTCTTCACTTCGCACGGCCCACCTTCAAGCCCCGGTGACCTAATAGGGGTGGGCCCCTTACTGCACACGGCTCTTGCGTTTGTGGGAACCGGCCCCTTGCTGCGCGCTGTCCACCTCCTGGCCTAGGTGACCTAATGGGGGTGGACCCTATGTTTTATTGCTCACGACCCTATCACTATCCTTAAAGATGATTTCATTCACTGCCCTACCCCCTAACCTATACACAATAAATACTCATGCTTCTGGACATTCGAGGCCTCTCCAGGCGCCTCACCAGCCGCTCGCCATTTATAGGTGGCGAGCCCAGCTGCATTTTCTTTTTACTTCTGTGTCATGTCTCTTTATTTCTCGGATCCTGCACCTCAGCACAGCATAAGGCTCACCCCACAACCCTGTGGGGCACTCAGCCTTACATCTGGCTCCCAACGTGCCCTACAAAAATGATCCAGGTGCCGTGGCTGACACCCATAATCTCAACACTTTGGAAGACCAAAGGAAGAAGATCGCTTGAGGTGGGAGTTCCAGAACAACTTGGGTAAAAAAGCAAGACCCTCATCTCTACTGGGAAAGAAGAAAAGGTCAAAACAGAAAAGTTTATGTTATATACAATTTACCACAATCTAAAAAGTTCATAATGTAATATATTAAAAACCATCGAGTTACACTTTTTTTTTTCCTTGGGACGGAGTCATGCTCTGTACCCAGGCTGGAGTGCAGTGGTGCGATCTCAGCTCACTGCAGCCTCTGCCTCATCGGTTGAAGCTTCTTTCTGCCTCAGCCTCCTGAGTAGCTGGGATTACAGGCACCTGCCACCAGGCCGATGTAATTTTTTTAGTAGAGACACAATTTTACCACTTTGGCCAGGCTGATATTGAACTGCTGACCTAGTTATCCACTCTCCTTAGCCTCCAAAGTGCTGGATTACAGGCATGAGCCAACGCACCCGCCCGAGTTACACACTTTCAATGGTTGAATTGCATGCAGGGTGTGTAAATTATATGTCAAACTGTTTTTAAATCTCATTTTGAAGGCCAAAACCTGAATATCAATTTATTTTTAATCTTTCTTTGCTCTTCTTGGGTAGCAACCCTACCTTCCCTCTCTCCTCCCTTCCAGGCCTGGCAAATCCCTTGGGCTGTCTGAGATCAAGGTCAGGTCTGAAGAAAGAAAAGTAGCCAGGAGGGTGGTTCACACCTGTAATCTCAGTACTTTGGGAGGCCCAGGCAGGTGGGTCGTTTGAGCCTAGGAGTTCAAGACCAGCTTGGGCAACATAACAAGAGTCTGTCTCCACAAAAAATACAAAAACTAGCTGAGTGTGGTGGCATGCAGCTGTGGTCCCAGCTACTCGAGAGGCTGGGGTGGGAGGATCACTTAGGCCTGGGAAGTTGAGGCTGCAGTGAGCTGTGATTGCACACTGCACTCTAGCCTGGGCACCAGAGTAAGACCTTGTCTCAAAATAAATAAACAAATAAAAATTTAGGGCTGGGTGCAGTGCCTCATGTCTGTAATCCCATCATTTTTGGAGGCTTTGGCAGGTTGATCACTTGAAGTCAATAGTTAGAGACCAGCATGGCCAACGCAGTGAAACTCCATCTCTAATAAAAATACAAAAACTAGCTGGGCATGGTGGCTGGCACCTGTAATCCCAGCTGCTTGGGAGGCTGAGGCTGCTCAAACCCAGGAGGTGGAGGCTGCAGTGAGCTAAAATCCCACCACTGCATTCCAGGCTAGGTGACAGAATGAGACTCTGTCACAAAAACGAACGAACAGGCCGGGCGCAGTGGCTCACGCCTGTAATCCCAGCACTTTGGGAGGCCGAGGCGGGTGGATCACGAGGTCAAGAGATCGAGACCATCCTGGTCAACATGGTGAAACCCCGTCTCTACTAAAAATACAAAAAATTAGCTGGGCATGGTGGCGCATGCCTGTAATCCCAGCTACTCAGGAGGCTGAGGCAGGAGAATTGCCTGAACCCAGGAGGCGGAGGTTGCGGTGAGCCGAGATCGCGCCATTGCACTCCAGCCTGGGTAACAAGAGCGAAACTCCGTCTCAAAAAAAAATAAAAAAAAAAAAAAAACGAACGAACAAACGAACAAACAAAACCCTAGCAGAGGCTGAATATTCCTTGAACACATTTTTTAAAGATTTCTAGCCAAAATGTAATTTTGGTCTCTTTTGTGTAGTTAGGTGATATATCTAAGAAGGCTGTATTCATCAAGTTGTCAGAATTGAACACTAAGAGCTGAGCCTATACAATAATAAAACATTAGAGTTTGGAAGAACTTTATTCCAAACTGACTCCTTATTTAAGTTTTATTTTTAGAGACAGGGTCTTCGTCTGTTACCCAGACTGGAATGCAGTAGCACAACCATAGCTCACGGTAGCTTCCAACTCCTAAAGTGATTCTTGTGCCTCAGTCTCCTGAGCAGCTGGGCATACAGGTATGAGTTGCCACACCCATCTAAATTTTTAAGAAGTTTTTTTTTGTAGCAGTGAAGTCTTGCTATGTTGACTAGGCTGTTATCAAACTCCTGGCCTCAAGTGATTCTCCTGCCCCATCCTCCCAAAGTGCAAGGATTACAGGTGTGAGCCACTTCACCTGGTTGAATCTGCTTCCAAATTTAAAAATCTCTTCTCTAAAATCTCTCCTCTACCTGGTTGTCGTGCATTGTTGACTTTTTGTTTTGAAGAACTTATTCCTTTTTATTTTTTTATTGATATGAGATTCACATAACATAGTTAACCATTTAAAAATGAATTATTTGGCTGGGTAAGGTGGCTTATGCCTGTAATCCCTGCACTTTGGGAGACCAAGGTGGGTGGATCACCTCAGGTCAGGAGTTTGAGACCAATCTGACCGCCAGTGATCCACCCTCCTTGGTGTCCCAAAGTCTGAGATTACAGACATAAGCCACCGCACCTGGCCAAGAATCATACAGTACGTGACCTGTTGTGTCAGGATTTTTTTTCACTCAGCATAATAATGTTCTCAAGGGTCATCCAGGCATGTATGATGCATCAGTACTCTTTTTTTTAAACAGCTGACATGTTCCACTGCATGGAGAGACCACAATTTGTTTATTCATTCATCAATCCATGGACATTTGGGTTGTTTCCACCTTTTCCTACTATGAACACTGCTGCTGTGAACACGTGTGTACATGTATTTGAGTTGGCTTTACTTTTTTTATTTGTTTTTGAGACGGAGTTTTGTTCTTGTTGCCCAGACTAGAGTGCAATAGTGCAATCTCAGCTCACTGCAACCTCTGCCTCCCAGGTTCAAGCGATCCTCCTGCCTCAGCCTCCTGAGTAGCTGGGATTACAGGTGCCCTCTACCACACCCAGCTAATTTTTGTATTTTTAGTAGAGGAGGGGTTTCACCATGTTGGTCAGTCTGGTCTTGAACTCCTTACCTCAGGTGATCTATCTGCCTTGGCGTCCCAAACTGCTGGGATTACAGGTGTGAGCCACTGCACCCAGCCATTAATTTTTGGTGTGTGGTAAGAACACTTAAAATCTACTCTCTTACCAATTTTCAAGTACAAAATATTACTAACTGTGTAGTAAGGAGTTAATTTTGTAATTGTCACCTATCTACTATGGTTCAGGAACTTAAAAAAAAAAAGGAAAAATAACACCTTTCATTTTTTTCCTTTTTTTTAAAATATAAAATTTACAGTAATAGAGACGGGTCTCACTAAGTTACCCAGGCTAGTTTTGAACTCCTGGGCTCAAGTGATCTTGGCCCATGGCCATACACCACATAACGAGGCTGGCGATGTCGTAGAAGCTGGGCTCCTGCTCCACCTCGGTGATCACCAGGCCCATGTGCACAGGCAGCTTCTCCAAGAAACGGCCCTCCCTAAGCCAGGCAGCGGGTGATGGGTGGCGGCCAGGCACGACCCCCCATACGGGTGGCCATGTTGAAGGCAGTTCCTGCCTATTGCCAGGGGCTTGCGGAGCTTAAAGCCAAGTGACACTAGGACTGCAGAGGCGGCTCGGCAGCTGTGCTGCCAGTTCCAGTTGCGGGTGTGGAACCGAGAGCGAAGCCAAAGCCGGGAGGTGGGCTGAGCCTGCGGTGCAGGCAGAGCAGCGCCGGCAGCATCTGCCACACTAGCTCGTCCAATCTTTTTTTTTTTTTTGAGACAGAGTTTCACTCATGTTACCCAGGCTGGAGTGCAATGGCGCGATCTTGGCTCACCGCAACCTCCGCCTCCTGGGTTCAGGCAATTCTCCTGCCTCAGCCTCCTGAGTAGCTGGGATTACAGGCATGCGCTACCATGCCCAGCTAATGTTTTGTATTTTTAGTAGAGACGGGGTTTCACCATGTTGACCAGGATGGTCTCGATCTCTTGACCTCGTGATCCACCCGCCTCGGCCTCCCAAAGTGCTGGCATTACAGGCTTGAGCCACCGCGCCCGGCCTCGTCCAATCTTGTACTCCTGTGGCGCTGGGGCACCCTCTTTCTCTCCCGCCCGCGACCGCGGCCTGGTGGCTTTTATTCGTCCCTGCGGCCTGAGCGGGCCATTGCTCACGTACACAGGAAGACAGGCATTTGCAAGTGTCGTAAGGGTTATTGCCGAGTTTAAAATGAGTTAACTGAGACCAGCATAAGAAGATTAAATGCCAGTTTATTTAGCTCCCGGGTGAAGTTCCATGGTCCCAGGGAAAAGGGGCCAGGGAAGTCGCACCAACTTCCTGGGGCGTGGGGTTTTTATGACTAGGAGGAGCAAGCAACAGCTGGGTGCTCTGATTGACTCCAGGGGAGCGGGATTGAGATGGGGCGCGTTTTCCGGTGGGAGAACCGGCCAGGAGCCTTGCATTAGCTGGAGCCTTCCAGGGGAGCACTGCGGCAGAGCTAGGTGCCGAGTGCAGAGGTGGGCGTGTCCAACCTCCCGACAAGGCAGCCGGCCTTACAGTCAGGATAACCACATCATCACTGCTGTTGGCACTCACAGGTAAAGTCAGTTTTAAGCATTCTATGTGGTATATAAAAGTGAGGACAGTCCCTCTCCAGTGGACGAATATTTTAATTTGTTTGAAGAAGAAAGAATGAGCAGATGACTTGGGGGACGGCATAGTAATCACAAGACAGAATTGCCCACCTTGTTTACAAGTGAGTTCCTCTTAGAGGAGTCTAAGAATAGGGATTTTTACAATAGTTTAAAATGCACTAGGCACACAGATACACACAAAATCTAATTCACACCACAAAAACATGAGCTTCCGCCCATATTTCAACTACTTCCAATCTAAAGTATCTTGACCAGGAGAGGATAAGTTTATGTATTAGATGAATCCTGTTGGACTCAGGGCTTCATTGGTAATTGCTCGGGAACATGTTTACTTGTTCTTTTTACTGCTCCCTGAAACCTCAGATTAAGAAATTTCAAGCAGGTCCAGCTAAAAGCATAGCAAAATGTGGCACCTCATAAAGCTGAAACTTAAGAATGTTAAGAAGAAGTAGAGAATGCTGGATTTCTCACCAGGCCACCAGCTCACTCATTTGGGGCCACTCAGGTTTTGACGAGATCCAGAGCATGGGTATCGTCCATGATGTGTGGCATCCACAAGAACAAAAGTCACTTTTTTTTCCCAAGAAATAAGAGCTATTTAAATATCATAGCTAAAAGAAGGAAGTGTCACTTGACTTCTGAAGTGGCTGAATACTTGAACTGAGTTTTTTAGCTCAGAAGTTAATGTCAAAGACAAAGGTTCTGTTACCATCCGTAGAGAATTTATGATCCAGCATTATTCCTTGAAATTCCATCCCAAGACCAGGTTCTAGTACAGTCTCCACAGTATATTGAGAGTAACTTTCTGAACTGCAAACTTGATTGTGTAACTATTCAGATTTCAATTATTTTCTTTTTTTAAATTATATTTTAATTTCTGGAACACATGTGCAGAACGTGCAGGTTTGTTACATAGGTATACACGTCCCATGGTGGTTTACTGCACTCAGCAACCCATCACCCACCTTAGGTATTTCTTCTAATGCTATCTCTTCTCTAGCCCCCACCATGCTACAAAGTCTGACTTTTAAACTTTACAGAGATTTTTAGAAAACTGGCTCTTATCTGTTCAACCTTATCTTCTACAGCTCCTCTCTGTACATCCTGAGCTCTAACCATACCAACTTTAAGTCTCCAGAATCTAGGATTCTAGCATGTTCACTTACACAACTGTTCTTATATAATTGTTCTCTCTGAGGAATATGCACTTTCTTCTGTTTTTCTGGAAAATTACTATTCATTCAAGACACAGACTCAACTCTTTGAAGTCCTTTCTGCCATCATTCTCACTTTTACATCAGGACCGTGCAGACTCAGGAACTACTATGTGCAATTCTATAAAGTATAGAGTGTTTTCAACAATATTGACTTTGCTGTTTTGACTTTGAGGGTATTTTGACCCTAGTGGAATAACCTTGATATTTAATTCCAAAGGGACAAAGCACATGGGTATACATTCAACTCACCCATATCTCCAGGACTATTCTCCAATCACTCCACAGGAAAACAAGCTGCTTGAATGAGATGTGGCTTTAATCACCTTATTAGTCTGCTAAGGGAGTCATAACAAAATACAACCAACTGGATGACTTCAACAACAGAAATTTATTTTCTCACAGTTCTGGAGGCTAGGCAGCCATGTTTGAACTTCCAAATGATTCACTTCCTGGCTTGTAGAAGTCTTTCTTGTTTCCATGTCTTTGTATGTCATCATATGGCTTCTTTTACTGTGTGCATGTGGTGGAGAGGGAGGTAGATACAACTCTTTGATATTTCCCCTTAAAAAGACACTAAGCCTGTCAAATCAGAATCCACTCTTATGACCCCACTTAGTCTTACTTTACATCCTTAGAAGTCGCGTTTTTAAATACAGCCTCACTGGGAGTTAGGCCTTCAGCACATGAATTTTGAGGGGACACAAACCTTCAGTTCATGACAACCACCTTATGTTCTCAAAATATAACAGGTCCTTGTAATGACTGTAAACATTTGTGATATGATTAAATGCTATACCACATGAAGAGAGAGTAAAGAAAACTATTAAGCAAAAGTACCCATTTCATGTGCACTACGTGCAAATCCCTGTTATAGAACATGTCAGCGTTATTGAGGAATCCATAATAAAATAATTTAATTGGAATTCAAACACAAAGAAGTATCAAATAAGTGTTTCTAATAGTAAGCAACTATAGGATAGAGCGAAGAGTATTAACTTTGGAGTCAGGAACCATGGGTTCAAAATCTAGCTGCAACACTATCTATGTGAACCTAAGCAAGTTGTTTAACATTTATAAGCTTCAACTCCCTTGCCTATAACACAGTTGCAGAATACCTAACTGAGATATCAAGCGAGATAGAGTGTGTAAATTCACTTTGGAAATGCTAACACTGCATGTATGAAGAATGTGACCAAGCCCTCATAGGTGACTTCTTTGACAGGATCCTTGATCTCTTATCTCTTCTCAAGTAAAAAAGGCTGTTTTTCTGCAGGGCATTGCCTCCCTATACAGCAGGTCTTACTGCATTAACCACATTTGTACATACCTAGTTATCGTGATTCTCAAAACTCAATATTTTATGCTGGTGCTCCACTAGAAAAAGATGTGTTCTTGGTTACTTTTTATACTTGCTGTCTTGCATGGAAGAGAACCAGCATTCTCTAATTCTGAATCAGAAAAATGTTGTGGTAAAAGCAGCATAAAAAATTCTGTACGACAAAATGCCACATGAGTTACTTGAAGTCTCCATGCACTCTTGCCAGAACATTCAAGCATTAAAAATGTTAAGGTTAAGGCTGACCTGGCCAAGAGTGATTTAAAAATGGAGGCCACCACACAGTGAGAATTCTTATTAAAGATCAGTGAAATATGTCCTCATGTTCTATCAGCAAATAGAGAATTGTCAACAATGAAATATTCTCTTAGGAGTCAGAATCAGGAAAAGAAATTGACCTTGAGAAATGCTAATTATTGCGTCACCTTCCAATCAGTAACTATAAGATCACATTCCTAAATCTTAAAAAGTGTATGATACTTGCAGAGTTTGTGGCAGCAAATGGAGTCCAGGTGGAGCTGCACAGGAAAAACAAGAAAAATCGCTGCTCACCAGAAACAAGAAAGGAGCACAGGAGGACAGATTCAGACACCCTAGGCTCAAACCCCCTGTTGCGAAGTAGATTGTGTGTGTATGTGTGCACACATTACATAAGCACATGTTATTTATTTATTTTTAAACAGTCTCACTATGTACTGAACTGACAATGCTCTTTGTTTTCATTATGTGTTGAAGAAAAGAATTAAGGAGTGGAAAGAAAAGAATTGTGAGAGACATTGCTTTGATTCATTCAAAGCTAGGCTCCAGGATTAGCTTTGTGTTTATTTAATATATCAAAAAGCAACAAAACATCACAGCTAAAACCATAATTCGCAGCAAACTGACACAAGAACAGAAAGCCAAACACCATATGTTCTCACTCATAGGTGGATGTTGAACAAGGAGAGCACATAGACTCAGGTAGAGAGAGGAACATCACACACTGGGGGCAGTCGGGGGGTAAGGGAGAGACGGTGGGTGGGGAGGGAGAGGAGGGTGGGAAGGGATAACATGGGGAGAAACACCAGATATAGTATGCACTTAAATTAAAAGAAATAAATTTAAAAAAAAAAAGAAAAGAAATAGACACTCAAAACTTAAATTGAAAATATAATTCTGAAGCATCATGGACTGACAAATATAGCATTTAAAATACATTATTTTCTTTCCGTTTCTTACAAATTCAAAGGTGGCAATGCATATAAAACAACGATCTGCTTGAGCTACTAGTGAAGTACCATAGTGAAAGCATGCAGGGGCACTGCCAGCTTAAGGAAAAGTAAGTTGCTTGTCCATTCATTGAGTGGTTAGCACCTGCTTTACAAATCTCTTAAACATCTGGCTCCATGCCCTTTACACAGGAGTTCACACAGACAGAGACGTTTATTTTTTCTTCCTAATCACATACCTTTTAAGATTCATAATTTGGGATGAGCAAAAGGCTCAACAGGAGGTGGGGATGAATTAAAAAACCATAAAATTGATGCTGTCACTCTGATTGACATACCACTAGTGCAGCATGCATTTCCTGTTTGTCAAGAATGAAAGGTGTTCACATTCTGTAATAATACCTAGTAATGTCTTGGAAAGACAAACTGCTGCCTGACTACATTTTACCAAAATGGATTTTTTTCTCCTTTTTGCCAGCACTGAAGTCAGGAGCTAGAGTGTACATTACAACCCTATATAAAGGATGACCTAGATATTTAATAACTCAGGTATTGCAGTCTACTACCTGGACCTCCCCAGGTCTCCGATGCTGTATTCTAGTATGCCTGAAATCACCATTACACCTTAAGACTAATTCAGAGAAGCATCCAGGGAGCTAGATGTCCAGGAATGCCATAATAAACTTCAGAGAATGGGTTTCCTTTGCTCCCTATAGCTGTCTCATCACAAATTCGCCAACACTCTACCTCTTAGAGGTCTGTCTGACAATTAACATTTTGTGCAGCATAGTAAAGAGAATCTTGTACGTAGGGATCAGGAGGCCTGACTCCCTCTAGCTACTATGTCACTAACCATCTAAGCAAGCCAGCCATTTAACTTCTACACCTCAGTGTCATCACACTTAAAATAGATTCTTCCATTTGCCTTGGCTTCTTGAGGGGTTGGTTGTTGAAGAATAAAAGTAAAATTATACCTTTATAACTTGCATGCAATCTTTGTCATGTAGATCACAAATATGATTATGTATTTGTTAAACAAAAAATTTGGAGAATATTTAAAATAATCTACTCTGGGGCAATAATTTGGTAAAAGAATGAGGAAGAATCAATGAGGTACACAATATTATGTGACAGGGTTAACATCAGAAGAAAATTAAATATAGCATGTATTTGTTAAAGAATTTGGAGAATATTTAAAATAATCTATTCTGGGGCAATAATTTGGTAAAAGAATGAGGAAGAATCAATGAGGTACACAATATTATGTGACAGGGTTAGCATCAGAAGAAAATTAAATGTAGTTATAGCCATTCAAGAATTATTCTTACAGTAAAGTTTTAGCCAAAGATGTATCCCTCAACTTACTGCCCTGTTATTACTATTTACATCCCTATGGAGTATGAATTACAGATATTGACTACTAGCTTTTCAAACATTAAAATATTATTTCGGGGAAACAAAGAATAAAGGGAAAAGATTAAATAAATCTGAAAACTTTAGGAGAAAGATAGAATAGGAATGTTTGTATTAAGTGTTCTAATGACACATTTTTGCATTTTCAAGTCTTGGGATTCTGTTATTTCCATAGAAGATTTCAAGATAATAAATGTAAGATTAGTGCACAATCATTGTCTAAAAATACCAAGTTTCAAGTGTCGGGCACTACATCCTCAACAACCCTTTGTCTCTGGAATTATAAACACAGACTTCTATGATTTGGAAAGCCTATGGAAAATTGACCCAAATGAAAAAAGGGAAATGTTTTGTAGACCCCGCTTTTGTGATAATACTGTTGCAAAGGGATCAAAGTGCTTTCGAATACAATTTATTGCTGTTGTTTTTACTAAATCAAATAAAGGCTTTAAGCAAAAACAGATTTCAAGCCTTCTGCTTATGATTGCACTTTGTGAGACTTGACAATGCTGATTTCTGTGTAATTTTAAAAATCATGTTTGGTAACAAGAAAAGGCATTTCTCCCAATTATTCAAAGTTTCCTCTGGGCCGGGCGCGGTGGCTCACGCCTATAATCCCAGCACTTTGGGAGGCCGAGGCGGGTGGATCACGAGGTCAAGAGATCGAGACCATCCTGGTCAACATGGTGAAACCCCGTCTCTACCAAAAATACAAAAATTAGCTGGGCAGGGTGGCGCGTGCCTGTAATCCCAGTTACTCAGGAGGCTGAGGCAGGAGAATGGCTTGAGCCCAGGAGGCGGAGGTTGCGGTGAGCCGAGATCGCGCCATTGCACTCCAGCCTGGGTAACAAGAGCGAAACTCCGTCTCAAAAAAAAAAAAAAAAAAAGAAAACAAAGTTACCTCTAATAAAATCTGCTCATTGATGCCCATGCTTACAAATACAGTACAAAGAAAGTTCAGCAAAGTCACTCAGCTGCACCCAATTGATTCTTGCTAAAAGTTGCAGAAATTGTATGGAAACTTACTCAGGATTTGAGGGCATTTAAATCATGGCCTGATTTAATTTTATATTCACTAAAAGTGAAGCTAAAAACAGAATGCACGGATCATGCCCTCATAATCTTCAAGTGGCAGCCCATAGACAGCTGTCTGTTTCTTGAGTTAGATTGACAAGAACTGGAAAGAAAGTATTAGCAAAAGGAATCTCGGATGCTATTAGCTGAAATCTACCTAAATCCCCCAGCAAAATATAATCTGAAAGGAATAAGAGGTTCACCTCTTGGTTCTAGTCATTGAGAACTTAAAGGTTAGGTTAAGCAATATCCCTCCCTCTACTTGTTAAATTACCCAAATATGGCTATAAAAAATAATGTTAAGTATTCAGGCCAGAGGTATTTATCAGAAGGTTATTATTTACATGGCTATGTACCTCATGGCAAGCCTCACAGAAAATTATAAGTACAAATATGCAAAAATCGTATTTATATACTTTCTATAAAATTAGGCAGGCATTAATTAAATGGAAGAAAAGGCACCAAGTTCTGATTCTAACTTGCTTCCCAAAGAAGGAGCCATCTACAGCTTAGAAGACAGATAAGAAGTTAATCATCACAGATTTGCTGTGAACAGCTCTGCTCAGCTCTGTCGCTGCCAGACTCGAGGCCACACACACCCTTCCAATATGCCTAAAGAAGATTCTCAGAGAGATCACTTCCTTCTTCCTTCAGATTTCACAAGGGCAGAGTATGATCTTACCTTTGAAAAACTTGAAACCTCTCTGTAGAGCTGGGAAGTGCTCTCAATAGCAAAGTTGTCACCATCCTCATCATCACACCTACAATGTACTGAGGACTCACTATGTGCTAGGTACAAAATGCTTTGCATTATCTCATCCTCCCTCACATTTATCCCATGAAGCAAATGCTGTAAATGACCACATTTCATGAAAGAAGAAACTGACACCAAAACTTGCCCATTGTTACAGAGATGGTGACAGTTGGCACCTGAATTCAGACAACCACACTCTTCAAGAATCTCCACTTGCAACAATCAGAGTAGCTTAATCGTCTGCAAATAGCCCATAAATTTGATTTTTTTTAGACAGAGTGTCACTCTATCACCAGGCTGGAGTGCAGTGGCGCGATCCCGGCTCACTGAAACTTGCATTTTCTGGTTTCAAGCAATTCTCCTGCCTCAGCCTCCCGAGTAGCTGGAACTACAGGCATGCACCACCACGCCCAGCTAATTTTTTGTATTTTTAGTAGAGACGGGGTTTCACCATGTTGGCCAGGATGGTCTCAATCTCTTGACCTCGTGATCCACCTGCCTTGGCCTCCCAAAGTGCTGGGGTTACAGGCATGAGCCACCGCGCCCAGCCAGATTTGACTTTTTAAAATCCACTTCCACTTAGAAAGCTCTTCCCATTCATTTCTTAATTAAATAATACACACACACACACACACACACACACACACACACACACACATATACTTACCACCTACAGAGTGCAAGGAACTGGATTAAGCACTGGGAAGTAAGCAATAAACAATACATATTCTCTACCCATGTGGAGCATACATTCTATAGTATATTCCACATATCATAGCCGCCTTATTTTTTCTCATTAATCCTATGTTCTTTACTGCTCCTATTACCTGATAGTTTCCAGGATGGTTTTCAGTAGCGGAGCAAAATGTTGGCACTGCTACAATTTCTATGAAGTTGGAAAATAACAACTTGGCCCCCTCCCTCCTGATGTCCACCTCTCTTCCCAGTTTCTTGGTCTTCATGTCTATCATCATTCAGGTACTCCCTGTCTTCTGGTTGTCCATAGTCACCCACTACTATATTCCTCTTCCTCACCCATGCCAAACCAAGCCTACCCTCAACTCTGCTGCCTCATGTGTCTCTACTTTTGTCCTTTATTCCTTCCACATCCACGCCTCAGGGTGAATCCGAGCTCCCATTCTTCACCTTAGTAAGCAGGCCTGACTTGTTGTGGGAAACGACCAATGAGAAACTGTTACATGTTACACCAGGAACGATCTGTTTCTAGTAAGTCACAAATTGTATTTTTTCAGAATTTATTTGGTGGGTTTTCTTTTAGAATCATTCTCGCATGTGGTAGTCATATTCTACAGAAATTATTGCAGGTACATATGGACTAAATATGTTCCTAGGGGCTGGTGAGTGATGTTAAGCAGTGGGTAACATGCTTTGAATTCCAAGTAACCAAACTACAAGTGACCTTCTGGCAAAGTCATCCTCAGTAACATATTCAGGTCTTAGACCTGAAGAGGAAACCATTGTGTTGTACCCTGAGCATACATTTCAATCTCTCTAGGTTGTAAAGGAACACTCTAAGGCGAAAGGATTAATCACTTGTCATCTCAGCCTCTGGCTTTGCACAGCACTCTCCTCTCAGGAGAATTTACATAAAAGTGTGTTGAGCTGACTTGAGAAAGGGAAAACATCATTTTATTTCACACAAAAATGTAGATAATTCCATATTCAAATTTACCTGACAGATCAGAAAATGGACTAAATAACATGAATTTTTGTTTATTTTTTTCTGACACTATCCTTCATCTTATTCAAGAGGAAAGTTTTACAAATTGACCACACTGCTCATAAACACTTTTCTTCAGATTAGTAGAAAAGCGTTGGAATCTAGACTTGTAAGCTCATTCTGGAATATCGTCTTCTACAAAGAATTGAGTACTGTTCAAATGTAATTATGATTAAATTATTCACTCATACTCACCATCTTCCAGCTATTTATTATGTGCAAGATATAATAGTGGGTACAGTGAAGAGCCATTCTCTTCATTTAGTCTTCAACTTGGCTCTGACCCAAATCGCTGCCTGCCCACCTGAAGGGGCAAATGGGAGCTGAAGTCCAGCCTTCACTCTCTTTGCCAAACCATATACCCTGGCATGAGGTTGGCTGTGTCCACCCAGGGGAAGTGGTATGTTTTTTCTAATTCTAACAAAGTACCTTATGGACTAAAGCCTGTTTTGGCCTTGCTCCTCCTTCCACACACACCTCCTAAACTGCACTTGGCCCAACTGTGATTTCTTTAACCTTTCCAGAGTATTGCTGTTCAGTCAAATGTACTTTCTGTTGCATGAAAATGCCAAAGTAGAGGAAAAAGAGCACACCACGTGATTTCCCCAGGGCCAAGATTTCCCCAGAGATGGATCTGAATGAAGGGACACAAAAACAGTTTAACACCAGCATATATCCTGTCCAAATTCCCTTTTTATAGCACAAGGTAGCTGTATTAAATACAGAACAAGTAAAATGAGAAATGAACCTGAATTATGAAGCAGAATTATTGTCATGATATGTGAACTAAACATGAAAAGAATCAAAACTTATTATTTTTTATTGGCAACATTTTTCTAAATAGGTAGTTACTTTTGAAAGATAGCATCTCTTTGAAATTAACTCTCAACTTCTTGCAAACCTTTAGATGTCCCCACATTCCTTAGCCAACTAAGAGTGATTATTTTTATTGCTACAAGCAATATATGTTTGTTTTGGAGAACATGACATTAATTATGATTAAATTATATAGAATGAAAAATGCCTATTACTTGCAAGAAGAAATAAAATTCAACACAGCTATAAAAATGTTAGCTATCTTGTAAAAATCTGTGTGGATTTCCTAGCAAACTAGCAATGAAAATTCTGAAATGTATAGCTAGTCTTATGAGAATCTTCAAAGGTTTTTCTAAAAGGCAAGACTAGGTCAGTTAGTTTACTATTTCAAATAGATATTGCCTTACCGTATATGAATCATACTGACATTGTTCATTTGATTTTTTGTGACAACTCTGAGGCATTACTGGGTAAAGCAAATCATTCTACTCCTATTACCTCTCTGATCTGTCCTCACATAGGATTATACCTATGTTTCCAAGGCAGAGAAATCACAAAGGGGTGAATTCCACCAGCCCCTGCTATGGACTCAATTGTTCCCACCTCACCCCACATTCACATGTTGAAGGCTTAACTTGCTGTGTGACTATATTTGGAGATAGGGCCTTTAGGGCGATGATTAAGGTTAAATGAGGTATGAGAAGGCAAAGAGACACCAGACTCTTCTGTATGCCATGTGAGAACACAGTGAGAAGGTGGCCATCTGCAAGCCAGGAACGGATCCCTCACCAGAACCTGACCAGGCTGGCACCTGACCTCAGACTTCTATTCTCTACAACTGTGAGAAAATAAATTTCCATCATTTAAACCACCCAGCCTACAATGTTTTGTTATGGCAGCCAAAGAATACAGGTCCCCAAGCAAACTAACTAAAATAGTATACATTATTAATATTTTGGTAAATATGTATAAAGAAGAAATGTTTTATAAATTTTTTTATTTTTATAAATTTATGACTGTGAATAAAGCATCTTTAAAACTTGAGTCATTTTTATTGATCTAATAAACACTCTA